GGTTTGGAGCAACATGAGGGTGAGTAATTAATGACAGAATTTTTGGGGTGAACTAACCCTTTAAGAAATATTTCTTATTATGAATGTTGAAAACAGTTGTGCTGCTTAATATTTTGTGGAAACTGTGATACATCCATTCTTAGGATTCTTTAATGCATAGAAAGAACAGCCTTTATTTGAAATAGAAATAATTTGTAATATTATAAATGTCTTAAAGGCATAGTTCACCCAAAAATGAAAATTAGATGTTTATCTGCTTACCCCCAGGGCATCCAAGATGTAGGTGACTTTGTTTCTTCAGTAGAACACAAACGAAGATTTTTCACACAAACTGTTGCAGTCTGCCAGTCTTATAATGGAGGTGAATGGGAATCACGGCTAAAACATACTATAAAACAAATAAAAAACATACACAAACAAAACTAAATTAAACCCTGCGGCTCGTGACGATACATTGATGTGTAAAGACACAAAACGATCTGTCTGTGCAAGAAACTGAACAGTATTTATATAGTTTTTTACCTCTGATTCACGCAATGTCCGAACTGTTCGAACTGTCCTGAGCGGCGGCGCGTCCTCCTGAGCGCATTCTCAACAGCAGGCGCATGAGGCGTCGTCTTCTTCTTCTTCTTCTTAATGTTTAACGGCGGTTGGCATCCAGCGTAATTGGTGCATTACCGCCACCATCTGCTCCGGAGTGTAGATCAGATAATAGGTTTTCAGACTAATTCACCCAATTCCCTCCTTCCCTCCTTCTCCCCCAAGCATACAAATCCACACACTTCATCCTTATTCTACTATATAATAATAATAATTTTAACCTTCCTCAATACCCCTATAACTCTTCATACTCTATTAAAAACCCCTGTGTCCCTTAAGAAATCCATAAGAATTCTAGTCTGTGCCCTATGTTGTGTGCTCAATAGCCCTTTTAATGTCATGTCCTGAACCTCTATCTCTCTCAACTTATTCCTCATCAACTCTCTCTGAACCTCATACCTGCTGCACCTCAAGACCACATGCTCCACTGACTCCTCTTCCTGGCAAACCTCACACAATCCAGTATCATGTTTTCCTATTAACTTGAGTGTTTTATTTAATAAACAATGTCCCAATCTTAACCTAGATATGACTGTTTCCTCTCTGCGATTTCCACTTCCAATCACTGAACATTTAACATCCCTCTGGATTTGATATAAATGCCTTCCTTTCCCCTCTCTATCCCACCTCTCTTGCCACATTTGATTTATTGTCTTCCATATCACACTTTTAACCTCTGCTTTACTGATACTTACTTGCATTTCTATGTTTCCTTTTGTTAACGCCGTTTTAGCTAATTTATCTGCCATTTCATTTCCCCTTATCCCTACATGTCCTGGTACCCATAAAAATGTTATCTGCCTTCCTTGGTTATATATTCTTGTAGCTGACTGTAGGACTTCAAACAGTATATCTTGCCGACTTTTTGAATAGAATGACCTTATACTTGCTAAAACTGATGATGAATCTGAACAAACCAAAACTTTATGCTGCCCTGTCTTTTCCACCCATCGTACAGCGATTGGCGTCGTCTTCTTCTTCTTCTTGCTTTACAGCGGATCGCAGACTTATAAGTGCATTACCGCCACCTATCTCTCAAGTAGACCATTGACACTCCTAATTGAGATTGTAGATAGTGTCAATGGTCTGTAATAAATAAAAACAAATAAATACTGTTCAGTTTCTTGCACAGACCGATCGTTTTGTGTCTTTACACATCAATGTATCGTCACGAACCGCAGGGTTTAATTTGGTTTTGTTTGTGCATGTTTTTTTTAGTTTTATTGTATGTTTTAGCCGTGATTCCCATTCACCTCCATTATAAGACTGACAGACTGCAACGGTTTGTGTTAAAAATCTTCGTTTGTGTTCTACTGAAGAAACAAAGTCACCTACATCTTGGATGCCCTGGGGGTAAGCAGATAAACATCAAATTTTAATTTTTGGGTGAACTATCCCTTTAACTGTCTCCTTTTATCAATTTAATCTGCCCTTGCTGATAAAAGTATTAATTTCTTTCCAATCTTACTGAGCCCATTGTTTTGAATGGTAGTTTAGATTAGTTGTTTCTCTGTAGTTAACGTTTAAATCAATTTAATAGTTTACATAATCTTGGTTTTTGCCTCGAGGTTCTGGAATATCTACCAGTGAAGCAACTTCCCAGCAGTGAGCCTGACCCTCATGTCGTGAGAGTCGGGTGGTCTCTGGATTCCTGCAGCACACAGCTTGGTGAGGAATCACAAGCACACTCACAGACTTCGAGGGTTTGTTATAGAAATGATCTTTCTGGGTTCTTATGTAGGGAATTACTTTGTTTCAGGAGAGGAGGCAGTCTCTTATGGGTATGGCGGAACAGGGAAAAAGTCTACCTGTTGCAAATTTGAAGATTACGGAGAGAAATTTGGTGAAAGTGATGTCATTGGATGTTATATTGTGAGGGCTATTCTAAGTTTTATTCATTTTTTTTTTCTTCAAAATTATGGAATCTGTCAACAAGTGGCTCTGTTGCAAAACCTGGTCAGCTTTTTGCTGTATACTGCAAAATAAAGGTGCAGTCACATTTACCTACTTGAAATTTCGCAAACGAAATCATTTAAATGGAGAATTTTGCCTGATAGATTTACAGTGAAAAATAAATTGTACTATGCAAATTTTGTGTTGGGTTCAAGTTTGATTAACACAAATTTACAGTGCTGACCAATAGTAAGCCTCTTGGTTTGGCAGTGATCTCTGTGTGGGCAGAGATTCGTAACGCAAAGCAAAACTGATGATCTTCAATATACAAAGTACTCATTCTAGTAGTATCTACTCATCCAGTTTTGTATAAAACTTCACTTTAATATTATAAAATGATGAATAAAACAAAGAGGCTATTTGGAAAGCAATTATTTAGGATTGGTTTGTTTAATAGCAGGCAGAATAGCTTTGGATGTTTATTATTTTTGTATTATCATTAACTGCTTTCTTTTTGTACAAAATTCATTGATCAACAGTAAATGTGACAACACCTTGTGGCGTCATCTTAAAATAAAATGCCTATAAGTGACTGATATGGAACGGACTACATAGGCTGCAAATTCAGGTGTTGCACAAATCGATTCTAATTGAGTTTAGCATTAGCATGTTGCTAAGCTAACAACATGATACTCATCTGAAAATAAAAATATATAAAATGCTCTAATATTCATTTGATTGAACAGCATTGGGATGGGACCTTCTGTCAAGGTAGGCAGCTTACTAGGTTTTGGAACTGAGAATAATGAAAGGAAAGCAAAATAACAAACCTAAATAAAGTAGTTGACATGATAAACAGTCTCTTATTTGTCTTTTACAGGACTTTGACAGTCATGCGCAGGTGGAAATGGCTTTCTCAAAGAACGGGAAGTGGCTTGATGTGGCATTTCATGTATCTAAAGAAGAACTGGCTGGTCGTGCACTGTATCCTCACATCCTGGTGAAGAACTGCTCTGTTGGGTTTAACTTCGGGCAACGAGTGGATCCGTTCTTTCCTTTGCAAGATGGCTACACATTTATCGGGGCTGTCAACATAGAGAACAGGGTCAGAGGAACTGTTGGTCCCACCAACAAATCTGATTTTGAGGTAAATTCTCCTGATTAGCTCCGTACAGGTAGTGTGAGCATTAGATTTTATGTTTCACTTTGTCTTTGCAGTAAAGATTTATATAACATCTTTAAGACAAACGACGTATGTCATATTTGACATTTTTGACAAAATCTTACACTAGATAGAACACTATCGTTCAAAATTTTGGGGTCAGTAATGCCGGGTTCAGACTACACTATATTTTTGTCGGTCACGATAGTCACTGTGTCAGATTACACGATTTTGACTCCTAAAATCTTGTCGTGTCGTGGACCAGAAACATGTCAGACTACACGTTGCTTCCCGACCATTCATCGCGTGCCATCTTTAATGACGCGCGTGATGTCATCGAGAAGGCGGAACTAGCGACTGACTTCTGAAAACAAGAGTGTAAACATTGCTGAAGCGCTTCTGCTATCGTTCGCCAGCATTTCGGGCTAAAATCGTGTAGTCTGAACCGGGCGTAAGATGTTACTTGAGCATCAAATCTGCAAAAAAATCAGCTTTGCCATTATAGAAATAAATGTCATTAAGTTTTTTTTGTTGTTGTTGTTTAATAATATTTCACAATAATATTTTTTACTATATTTTTGATCAAATAAATTCTCCCTAGGTGAGCATAAGAGACTTTTCCAAAACATTAACAAAACATAGCATCCCTAAACTTTGGAATGGTAGTATATATGGTCTTAAATAAATGTGTACTGTCCAGAGAATATAATTTTTGTCTGTAGGTCCTGATGATGGTTGGTCTTCCTGCTTGCGGTAAAACCACATGGGCCACTAAGCATGCAAAGATGAACCCAGAGAAGAAGTACAACATCCTGGGCACAAACGCCATCATGGAGAACATGAAGGTAGGATCAGCATGTTTAAAAGTGTTTTATTGTTCACATTTGAAAAGAAATCGTGTTTTTGGGTCCAAAACAAGTGCAATTGAATGGAACAGTTTTTTTTTTTTGGTGTAATTTACTGTTCAAAAGTTTGGGCTTAGTGAGATTTTTTTGTTTGTTTTTTGAAAGAAAGAAATGAAAACTTTTATTCAGCAAGGATGCATTGAATCGTTCTAAAGTGACAGTGAAGACACTTATAATGTTACAAAAGATTTCTGTTTTAAATAAATGCTTTTTTTACTTATTACATTATACTAATTACATATTAAAATATATTTAAAATAGAAAAGTTATTTAAATTGTAATAATATTTCACAGTATTATTGTTTTTGATCAAATAAATGGTGAACATAAGAGACTTATTTCAAAAAAATAAAAAAAATCTTACCGGCCCCAATTTTTTTAACGTTAGTGTATATTTCTAAAAAAAAAAACTTTTATGGTCTTTAAATGGTTCTGTTATGGTCTTAGATGATGGGATTGCGTCGCCAGCGAAACTATGCTGGGCGCTGGGACATCCTGATTCAGCAGGCCACTCAGTGCCTGAACCGACTGATCCAGATTGCTGCCCGCAAAAGACGGAACTACATTTTGGATCAGGTACTGCAAACACCTTACTGTGATTCCCAGTGAAGACATAGCTATGAATGAGCTCCGATGTTCTTTTTCTAATTTGTAAGAAGCAGTATTTGATTGAATATTGTATACTGAAGTGTTAGAATATTTGTTAGCATCAAACATGTTCTTTTTAGCGTTTCAATTATCTTGCATTTCCTGTGAGCCTATCTGATAATGTACTGGTAGCCCGTGACTGTATTAAGATGCTGAGAGACAAGTAATCTCAGCCTGGTGAGTAAGAAAAAGACGTTTTGTTGCAATAGTAATATAAGAAATAGCCTTGCTTTTAAATAGATGTCCATTATCCTGTTTCAGTAACAAGGTAAGTGGTAAAACTAACCTTCTTAGTTTTTCAGGGCAGAGCTGGTTTGTAAGGTAGGTAGAGTATTTCTCAGGTAAGTGATTTACGTCTGTATGTCTGTCTATAGACCTGAAGCACCACAAAGAGACGCATGAGTCAAGGTAAGTAAAGGAGACCCGTTTAGAATAGGAAAGGTTTTTTCTTAACTCTTATTTTAAGTATTTTGTGAGTATAGATGATGTTTATTTGCATTACATCTTAAGTATACAGTTATTGTATTAAATTGAATTTACAATTAAACTGGTTATTGTACATGAGCTAGACAACATTCAGGGTTCACATGGACATGGAAATATCAGAGAATTTTAAATGTATTTATTTATTTTATTTTATTTTTTTGAAAAGCGAGAACCCGTTCTGAATAAAATTATAATAAAATCATATTCAAAAAATTTCAATCTTCTTTCTTTTTAAAGCATTTTGACACTAAAAATTAATTTATCCCAGGGTTTAGAATATATATACTCAAGAAAAAAAAAATGTGGCAAATTTAGAACTGCGGGTCCCTAGTTGCATATTTGTTTCAGGATCCAGGTCCTCACAGACACCTCTGTAAGGTAAGTGTGAGGTGTTGTAAGAGTCCATCAGTAGGTGCAAGGAAAGAAAGAAAAACCACTCTCACTTCATTGCAGGGTTCCAGATTTCCTCCTGGGAAAAGCAAAGCCAGAACACAAAACACACAATAATGAACAGCTTCTGCTTCTTTCTTCTCACTATTGCTAGACAAATGTATATGGATCAGCCCAGAGACGAAAAATGCATCCTTTTGAAGGGTTTCATCGCAAGGCTATTGTAATTTGTCCCACGGACGAGGATTTAAAAGAGCGAACGTTTAAGCAAACTCATGAGGAAGGGAAGGATGTGCCCGATCATGCTGTTTTAGAAATGAAAGGTAGGCGCTGCTATGCGAAACAATAGAAATCAGAGAAGATCTGCATCACTTTTGCTTTTTGGTTTGTAATTAAACTTTAAAGACACACATATCACTTCATCAAAGAGAACAGCTTTATATGTTGGACCTCTGTCCTCAGTTTGATTGGGTCCTTTTGATCATCCCACCCTCACCTCTTGTGTCTTTATGATACACGAGATGTTGCAAACCAAGCAAGTGCATTCTTGTTTTTAAAGAATTCATTAAAGATAAGAATTCATACTAATACTGTCCTTTTAGTCATAATAAATACACATTAGTTCCAAAAATCCCTTTTTACAAACATGCTTTTGAGGTTGCACTTGGTTTGCAATAGTGTTCGTGATTTACACTTCTTCTGTTTTGATACGAATTATTTTCTTGCATCATTTTCCCCATCCTTCTTTAGCAATATTCTGTCAGTGAAGTCAGAATTTTATCAAGCTTAACTTTTTGTCTTCTGGTGGTGTGATCTGTCCCACCTTCTTTCCTCTTTTCATGGCTTTGAAGCCAACTTTGTGCTGCCAGAGGTTGGAGACTTCCTGGATGAAGTGACCTACGTTGAGCTGCAAAGAGAAGAGGCTGATGAGCTGGTCAAACGGTACAATGAGGAGGGCCGGAAGGCTGGGCCTCCGCCTGAGAAACGCTTCGATAACTGGGGACACCGTAGACGTGAAAGCAGCTACCAGCGGTACGACAACCACGGAGGGTTGAGAGGAGGCCATCAGAACAGAGGAGGTGAATTGACCTTGTTAGTGTGTCATGCCAACTAATTCAAAAGTCTGTCATTAGTGTTTTTCGAGGCGTCATCTTGCTCTCTGCTTTTGTCAGGTTATAACCGCGATGGCTACAATCCGAACCGCTGGGGAGGGAATCACAAAGACCGTCGAGATGGATACAGCAGCAACCATCAGTCTGGAGGAAGCTACACTAACAACCGCTATGGCTTATATAACAAAGAGGGATATAGCAGAGTGAGTCTGTACACAACCATGTATCTGTGACAGATATTTAGCTTCATGAGATTGATGTTTTTGTTTTGTTCTCACATTTTGTTTAGAGCTACAATCAGGGTTATAATCAAGGCTACAACCAGGATAACTATAGCCAAGGAAACTACAACCAAGGCTGCTATGGCAGCTACAACCAATACCCAGATTATGGGCATGGTTACCATGACAATCAAGGATCTGGACAATCGTATAACCAGCAGAACTACAATCAGCAGTATCAACAGGTGAGATACAAGCAATGTTCTATTAAAAACAACTTTTGCTCTGTTGACAGCATTTATGGCATCCTGTTGAATACCACAGAAAATCATTTTGATTTCTCGTTGTTTTTTGTTTTTTTAAAGGTTTTGAAAGCATCTAATCTGCTGTTCTTCGTAAAATTTTACAAAATAGGAATATCCATCAACCTTTTATACATGGAGTTAGTATTATGGATATAAATGTATGAATTAATTTCTGCAGTTTTATTATGGTTAATAATATCTAAATGACTAAAGCTTACAGATGTTAGCACTCTACCCAAATGTTCATTTTCAGAAGGTATGGACAGTGCCCAACAAATTTGTTTTTTCATTTTGTAATAAAGAAAAAGAAGTTAATTTAAAAACTATTCATCACTATCCTTGTAATAGATATTTAAGTTTAACCAAAATATTTGTTCCTTTTGAAAATCGAAGAAAAATCTATCTCTCCCTATTTTATTTTTCTTACACTAAACTGTCTTTTATTCAACTTTTAATCTTTCTTTTTTGTGTTTTACAAGGTTATTACATTTCTGTCAATAACAGTTTTAAAGTGTTTGCCTTGGATTTATAGGTACGATTAACATTATTAAAAAAAAAAAATCTTTAAAAACATCAACATTACTGAACTGTATTTTTCTTTTTTTTTCTTTCTGTATTTCACCACTTGATCTAGTTCTATCTAATGTATTATTTATATTATAAAAAAGTGACCACATTTAAAGATTATTAGAACAAGCTTGAGTCTAATGTTATGGAATCGATTACTAGGCTTGTCTGTTGTAGCGAATCCTATCACTCAGAACCAGCTTAGAAAAAGAAACTGTTATTTTGGCTTGGTTTCCATATGATTAAACTAGGAATAATAATAATGTGATACAACATTCAGTGTTTACAGAGTGGTGAGTTAGCTCTGAACACTCCACCCGCATGAATTACAAAAGTAATTTCATCGACCTAGAAAGTTAGTTCCATCTTAAATGGACAATTTAGACAGCTTTACAGTTCAAAATTTTTATTGTATAACCTTGAGTAACAACAATACAAGCTTTCTGCTTTTAAACCCTCTGAGTGAGACACTTGTCTGACTTAGATTCTAATGCATTACTGTAAATGCAATTTCTGTCCTTTTTTATAAACTGAATGACTGTTTGTAATTGTCTGCATGCCACAGCAGCTGTTGATAGTTTACTTTATTTTTTAAATATTCCTTGAATGTGTTGTAAAATCTTTTTTGTCTTGTATCATTTAAACACATTTTGTCATTATTAGATAAGATGATTGAAATGTAAGACTATACTCATAAAGATCAACATGTAGAAGTGGTAAAAGTTGTCCTTTTATTGATGCGAGATGTTTTTCTTCAGTATGTGCAGCAGTGGCAGCAGTATTATCAGAATCAGAGCCAGTGGAACCAGTACTACGCTCAATATGGGAATTACTCTGGACAGCAGGGCAGCCAGAGCTCACACGGCTCACAGTAATCAGGAAGCACCTCCGCAATCACACACACACACACCATGCCACGCTTCTCTACTTACACTACATCCTTCCCCTTTAACTACCATCATTTCATTTATTTACTCTTTTGTACATCTTGTTAAACCAGTTGCACATTTTTCCAAAACATAGTAAGCTGACTGTTATAAGTTAATGATTGTTTTGAACTAAATGACTTAGTATAAACTTTACTGATATGATTATACTAGTTAGTACCACCAAACCCCTGAAACTGAAATAAGATCAGAGATATGACTGATTTCTAGTATATGTGAAAGATATTTTTATTGCTTCAGGATGCTCAAGGTGCTTCTTGTTGTAGTACCACAAACAGCCTGCAGGTGGTTTCCTCAACACTGATTGTTTTTTTTTGCCAAAAACAAGTTTTGTTTTGCCTAAATTCCATTTAATTTGGAATGTAGATGCTTTTCATATCAACTATCATGAGCCTTAATTTAACACGTTAAGACGTGACCGTAAAAAGCATGTTTTTTGTTTAAATTGTAGTTGTTTAGTTTGATATACTCATTGCCATCACAACCACACAAGATGAGAATATGAAGAATGTTGTGTTGAGTTTTATTTAAAAAAAAAAAAAGTTTTATTCTTCCTGATAATCCAAAATGCTAGCTGATTTTAAGAGTGTCGATGATCATCCTGGCTGTGAAAGTACTGCATTTTTCTCTGAAATGTTTAGTTCTTGATGTTCTTTGTGGACGTTATTTGTTCTGTCCTGTCCAATTCATTTTTGCTTTGAGAATGAAATTATAGAACACCACCGTGACTCTGATGATGATTTAAAATACAAACATAATGTACAATAGTGTTGTTATATAGCCGGACTCATGAAATGAATGAAGCATCTCAATCACTTTTTCATTTATATTTTAATCACATCAGGCAGTGCTTTATGGAAAATAGGTAAGCTTTATCATTCCTCAATAAATAAAAATCTATAGCCTAAACTCAAGATTTAGTAAAAACAGACATTCAAGTTGGAGATGACAAAAGATCTAACAGAAAACATATTAGAAAAACAGTTTAAAATAGGTCCACAGTGTTTGTTTGAATCGACCCTTAATGTCACTCTCCCGCTCTTTTTTTCATTAATGCTCCTGCTCTAATACACCGAATGGACAAGAGCACTAATAAAGCAGATTGTGATCTTTTTGAATTGAGACAGGACTATTGTCTGAAATAAACAGTGATATAATACCCTTTGTCTCCTACTCAATGAATTGTTCATTACATAAGGCACAGTGATGCATTGTGGGTATTATATCAGCACCGAAATCACGTCCTTTAACAGAGGAGGTACATTCTTGCTGTTCGAGTTTAATACAGTTGTTCACAGTGTGTATTTTCCATCAGGGTGAATATTAAGGCAACAGTTTTGTATTAATTGAACTGAACCGCGCTCTTCGTGACAAAGGTAAGGCAGTCCGTCTGTCTCATATAAAGATGAGTGGTAGTGAGATTGATGATGTAGCAGTCCACCTTTGAGTGCTTGTGGAGATGTGAAGTCCATTGATCTGGTCCTCACTGGCAGTTGACGCTGGTGCATAGAGAGTTCTTACCGTACGTATCCACCAACAGGGTTTTAAAGAGCCCTGTGAGAGCAGTAATTCCTTAAATAAAATCCCTTCTGGGTAGAATTTCATCACATTTAATGAACGTCATGAACAATCTGTTGAAGACAATAGAACAAGACAGTTGGCGAGAAAGACGAGGACACGTTCTTCAGTCTTTTCTGTCCAGTGTATTTAAAAGTTCCACCCCACACAAACAAACGGCCACATGCACAGACTAGTTCAGTCTGGTTCCTTTCGTTTATCTTTGTTCAGCTTCAGTTCATCCATTTTCTCCTGTAGGAGAGAACTAGGGGCAGATGAACCTCGCACCCTTGCTGGTAGCATAGCGCTCTGGGATGATAAGGCAGGTAGGTAACGTTAGTTTCAAAACGTGTATGCTACCCAGTCTTGCTCACCAAATTAGCTTTCTATGCAGTGTATTTTTTGAAAATATCCACCATACTCGCTGTGAAAAAGTAGAGAATGTAGTTGAAAAAAAAAAGTGCTTCATGGAAATACCTTTTTAAGGGGTGGATGTTGTTTCTGGGAAGGAAGACGATCTTTCTGTTTGGCCACCGGTGTCCAATCTACTGGGTCCGTCTGAGTGGACCTGTCGGATAGTGTGGCCGCCTCTGCGTCGCTGTCTGATGAAGTTTGGCCCTTGGTGTGTTCAGATCCATTTCCGTTAGGAAAGACAAATGCTTCCTCTTCAGAACCTGATTGAAAGGCGGGAAAACATGTAAATCATCTGCAAGTCTAACAATTCATTAAGGACTTGTGCGTGACATTCTGCACTATATAATCTTCTCTCCAATCAAACAGTTTCTAGAATTACAACACCTCCAATCCATTTACAATCATATCATATTCATATCTATGACAATGTACGTAAAGCCTATTATTAGCTATTTTAGTGTTGCAGTGTAACTGAAGTAGCGACAGACTTCCCTGTTGTACATCTAAGTGAAGCGATTTATCAAAAAAAAATTAAATAAAATGTAGGGTGGGACTTGATTCTGTCTAGTGGTTGTTGATTGGATGGAGGCTGATGTGAATGCGAGATTGAAATTGAATTTAGCGGCGGGGTTTAAGTGGGCTAAAAGCTTGATGACAGTTTAAGAAAAATTATGAGGGTCAGTAAAAATGGAATGCATGGTTCAATCAATCACAATAAGTTCAATAACTTGCGTTTAAAATTGATGAATAGATGAGGACGAGCCCAACCAAACTTCCAATTTCAATAAGAAATACATCGTCACAGAAAAAAAAAAAACAATGGCAGAATTTGGAAAAAGCATACTATTCTTAATATTTCTTCCACATTTGTATGATCACAGATGGTCCTGACATCGGTTTCCCAACCCAATCTCATGCGATAACGTAACTATTTTATAAGGTGGTATTTTCAATTGTTTCTAAAAAAGGCAAAAAAAGCAACCATGAAGATCTACCCCTAAACCTGAATTGAAGCAGTTCGTATGTAAATGTACTAATTCGAAAATGTTCGAATTCACCACCAATTCCTCAAAATATAAAATAGTTACGGATTACTATGAGAGTGTGTTGCATTTACTTCAGCTGTGGTAGTTTCATGTTTCATGATCACCCCATGGTCTCATTCTTGGTGCATAATAAAATAATTCTTAAATTTCATACTCATTTAACTGATTCGTTTGATAAATGTGACCTTGGACCACAAAACCAGTCTTAAGTGTCGGTTTTTCAAAATTGAGATTTATACATCATCTGAAAGCTGAATAAATACTCTTTCTATTGATGTATGGTTTGTTAGGATTGGACAATATTAGGTCGAGATACAACTATTTGAAAATCTGGAATCTGAGGGTGCAAAAAAATCTAAAATATTGAGAAAATCTCCTTTAAAGTTGTTCAAATGAAGTTCTTAGCAATGCATATTACTAATCAAAAATTAAGTTTTTATATATTTATGGTAGGAAATTTACAAAATGTCTTCATGGAACATGATCTTTACTTAATATCCTAATGATTTTTGGCATAAAAGAAAAATCTATAATTTTGACCCATACAATGTATTTTTGGCTCTTGCTACAAATATACCCCAGCGACTTAAGACTGGTTTTGTGGTCCAGGGTCACAAATAAGCATTCAATAAATGGTATTGTTTACAGTCAAAAAGTCATTATCACAAAATTAACCTCTTCAGGAACAGCACAAGTCCCCTCTTTGCTATGATCACTTTGTTGGGGGTTATTTTGCCTTAATGTATCAAGACTGATATAAAAAACTCACTCCAGCTGTTGCCCTTAGTGTGGAGGCCTGATACGGGGCCCGGGGTGCAGGGACAAGAGCTACTGGTCACCTGGAACCTCTTAATACACTCCATTCCCACCACGTCCTTACAGTGCTTATGACAGTTTACTCCGCAGTCTGCAGAGAGAGAGGGGCAGCAGGATTACGCTGGTGCAGAGGTGACAGTATATTGATCAGTACTGTATGTTCTAACCTTTGCAGTGGTAGCCCTGCTTTATGACTCCCCATAACTAATGGAAAATAGAGGAAAAAAGTTAGACAATTTAGACAAGTCAAAATTGCACAAGTCCCTTGGTCCACAGTTTAAACACTCACAAATCCTCCACAGGTGTCGCAGAATGTGGGCCTTTTGTACGTGGTCTCATGGAAGTTGTGGAGGTTGTGGAGGTTGAAGCCGAGCTTAGCACACACTGACATCCCACGCATGAAATATGAAGTGATTTCTGCTCTACTGATCTCTCCTTCCCTGAAAAATAAAGAACAAAGCATGATGAGAACTGATTTAATTCTTTTAATGAATTTAACATACAGTAAGTCAATCAGGCCTAGAAAAAATAAAATAAAATTAATTGCTCTTATCACATTTTTTTAAGCAGTAGTTTCCATCAGTACACTGAAAGTGATAAATCGTTAAACAAACAAACAAATGAACACTGTGGGTGTATACATTTTAAGGTAAGAGGTTTATTTTATTTATTTTTTTAAATATCATATCCTACAATTTTAAATAAAGAATATAATGACGTTTTCTTGGGGTTAGAAAACCTGAGCTAACTTTGCCATGCCATAAAAAGGCTAAAAAAAAATCTTAAATTTCAAAGGTCTACAGGGGTCCCCTGTGATACTGTATTTCCTGTTTTGTTTTTCTCTGTCACATGACAACAGAATGGCTTCCTGCATGTTGGTTTCTCCACACTCACTAACATTGATTTCGCAAATAAAACTTCAACTGCCTTTAAAAACAAAAACAAAGGAAAGCAAACAAACAAATAAATAAATAAATACCAACTTATTCAAATACTTATTTTTATACTTAAGCCTTTTAATGAGGCGTGTTTTCGTTAATGTAAAAGATGGCTTCAGAAAATGAAAGTGTTTATTTCTTTTCTTCTTCTTTTTAATAAAGCTACAAAATATTTCATTTTCA